GAGAGAGAGAGAGAGAGAGAGAGAGAGAGAGAGAGTAATAATAGTATTTATAATAATTATAAACTGTAATTATTTTAGTTTGTTTGAATGATAATTGCTAAATATTACATGAGAATAATGTGTAATAATTACAAATTGTAAAACAAATAAAACATTAATGTAAAATTCATTTTTATTTTTGCATAACAGTTAACTTTTTATACAGTAGTATATCATTTATGTTAACAACCAGTTGTATAAATTAAGCATTTACATAAACCAAACTTTTATCCAAACAAAGTCTATGGGTTGTGGTTTGAAGGTTTGGTTAAATACAAAACTACAATTAACACAATTGCTTGTTCACATAAATAATAAAATACTGTATATAACTAAAGTACGTGGTGCGTTGTATAACTCAATTTTATCATAAACAAGTTTTGATTAATTGCACTTAATGTGACCATCAATTTATATAAATACATCATAATTAATATGTCAATGATTTACACTCAATGCTCGTGTAGTCTGCGAAAAGTTTTAAAAATATATTTACAAAAATGTTTCTATACATGTAAGTTATGAAATATTAATAATGAAAAATAGATTAAATTTTAGTCTAATTTTTAACTTGCTAGCATTTTATCATCACTGGCTTTGGGATTAATTGTACAGTATTTGGCCCAATATTATGCTAAGCTTAAAAATTATCCGCCCGGCCCTAAACCATTACCATTGATCGGGAATTTACTATGTAATTACATGATATAATTTTACATTTCACTTTTATAAATAATTTACTGCTTATTTAATAACAATTTATTTTTAAATACAGTATTCCGCAATTATAAGGGACACTGGAATCTAGAACTAATCAAACTGTACAAAATATACAGCCCAGTGTTCACTATATGGTTTGGACCATGGCCATTTGTAATCATATGCGATCTTGACTTGGCAAAGGAGGCGTTTAGCAAGGTGGACTTCTCCGGGCGACCCCCGTCTGAATTTGGTGAACATAAAATCATTTATATAGATATAATTTACAAATACGTATAATAAACCATGATGAAATTAATTAATTTACAAATAACAGGCTCGATATTTAGCAACGACAAGTTTGCTGAGATTGCATTTAGCGATTATGGTAAAACATGGGAAACACTACGCAAAGTGGGGCACAGGGCTGTTAGGTATGCAAAGTATATAAAATGACTAAAATAATGTAATAATTTATTAACCTTTGCCAAAATGTTACATACAGCAAATACGCCAAATCCAATGAATTACCATGTTGCGTGGATGAGTGTGTCAGTGAATTGTTAACCTTGATAAAAGAGAGGGAGGGCGCCAACACAGCATTTAACACAAAGGATTACATTCTGGGTTTATTCTGCAATATACACGTGGCGATAGCATCTGGCCAAAAGTATATAATTAATATTTTGGTTTTTAATTAACATGAAATAATTATAAATCTTATTTTAAAACAGACTAAAATTGGATCAAGGGCAAATGCTGAAATTTAAGTATTGTTTAGATGGTTTCCAAACGGACCTTGGTAATCGTATGTTTATATACGAATTTATACCCATATTGAGATATTTTATGGCAAATCCGTTGACAAAATACAAACAATATTTCACTGAAATAATGGACTTTTTGGGAAAACTATATAAAAATGGGATTAAAAAACATAATAAAGAAAATACCCAAAATTTTTGTGATCTACTCATCACTGCTAAACACGAGGCCGAGGCTCAGGCCAAAGAGTCGGCCCAATATTTGACCGATATCAATTTAACTGCAACTCTCATTGATATAATTATAAGTAATAAAAAAACTTTACATATTAAATATTAAAACAACAATAATAATCATTTAATTTGGCTCACATATGAATATTGTATCTAGCTGCCACCGATAATGCGCACGTATTTCAATGGATATTACTATTTGTGGCCTACTATCCGGAAGTTCAGCGTAAATTACGCCGAGAAATATCTAATGAGCTTGGTGATCGCCCGGTGACCACCGAGGACAAACACCGTATGCACTATACGATGGCATATATTTGGGAAATTTTGCGATATAAAAATTCAGCCCCTATTGGTTTCTTTCATCAGACCACAAAGGGCTCCAACATAGGTTCATTTATTTCGGAACTGATCTAGTCATATTTTACAATATTTAAATTACCCTAGGCAAATACAATATACCAGAGGGCACTAGTGTTGTGGTACAGCAATATTCAATTCTCATGGATGATAAATACTGGGACAATCCGGATGAGTTTAACCCTGGTCGCTTTTTGGACAACGAGGGCAAACAAGTGGTGGTAAAACCGGCGGCTTTTATACCCTTTGGTGTCGGCCGTCGACAGTGTATTGGCGAACAGTTGGCCACAAATACACTGTTTTTGGCATTAGTCCGCTTATTACAGTTAACCACCGATTATAACATAACTATCGATAACCCGACCACCGATACACTCGATGCCGATCCCATTAATCTTTGGATACAGTTTCCTAAACAGTATAACATTGTCCTCAAAACTAAATAAATATTTAGTATAAGCATTGTAATTATATTTTTTAAATGATCAATATAAACAAATAAAACTTTAATTATAAAATTGTTATTTCTTTAGTCAATTATAATTTGTTATCAAAATTATTATAATTGCTTAAAACTTAATTTATTGAAGTTGAGATTGATAGCGTACATTTTGAATAAATACAAAATTAGATTTATAGTTATAACAACAAAATTATCAATTTTATTATTACTTAATTTAATTACTTTAAATCTTGTCTCAATTTTATTCGATATAAATCTATGTAATTATTTAAAAAGTAAGATATGTGAATGAAATTACACAGATTATTTACATGTTTACTTATTAAGTTACGACTGCCTAGACCACTGTATTACAGTGCTCAAAAATAGAAATTCAGAGTCTGATTAATTCAAATATGACTGGATAGGCAATATGAGCAAGGTGTCTAGATTAGTAGCAAATTATTGGTCATAATAGATCTGAAGTGGGTGCGAACTGTGTCTGTGTTCAGATTTACTTCAATTATTTAACAAATCAACATGTTATGTGACATGAAACTATGTTAAATAAGGAGTCGATTGATCTTTCATATATGTCTGTTTGACTTCGGGTTCGGTTGCAGTGACCACTTTTACCGGAAAATTTAATTTATACAATACTAACATGTAATATATGAAATCAATGTAGATTTTAACGTGGAATTATAATATAGTAATATTATCTCAATGGAGTGCAAAGGTAGCAGAGTAATGGC